ACAGGACCTTGGCTTTTTTTCATCAACTTAGGTAAGCCCCATTCGATCTTTCAGTTTGCAAATGAAAACATGAATCAATTAGCAGAAGAATAATTTAGTGGGTTTTTTAAAAAAATTAATTATCATTTCAGATGCTTCGGTTCAGAATATTTGCTGACACCTTTCCATCCTGTGATTGATCTTTGATCTGCTTCTCTTCTGCTGCCTAACAAACCACCCCCCAAATTAGTGATTGAAACAACGATGACATTTTTTTTCTCCACCCCCAAATCTGCAACAAGGTCAGGGCTTGGCCAAAGCGAGCATCTGTGCTTCACATATTATCTGAAGCAGCTGGATGGTGGCTGGTGGGATCATCTGCAGGCTGTGTACATGCTGGGCGGAGGATGCCGGCTGATTGTCTAGAACCTCACCTGGAGCGCCTGGGTAGAAAACCCTCACCGAGGCTGCCTCACATGCCCTGGGCTTTCTCACATCATGGTGGACATGTTCCAGGTTTGGGGTTATTATTTTTTTTAATTTGCTGACATGATATTTGTACTTATTTATGGGGTACCATACTATAATTTGATACATGTATAAAAAGTGTAATGATCAAACAAGGGAATTAGCATTTCCATCTTCTTGTCATTTCTTTGTGTTTGAAGGCTTTAAGCTATTCCCTTCTAGTTCTTCCTTACTGCACGATGCCATATGTATTCCTTCTAGGTAACTATTTGGGTACCCCTTATCCAACCTCCCTTTGTACCCTCTCCACCTGTACTTTCACAGCCTCTAGTGCTCCTACGTACTCTCTAGTTCTATGTGATCAACTTATTTAGCTTCCACAAATGATGAGACTCCTAGAGGAAAAAGGAAAAAAATATTTCAAGACATTGATATAGGCAAAGATTTTTTTTTAAGATCCCCAAAGCACAAGCAACAAAAGCCAAACTAGGCAAACTATATCAAGCTCAAAGCCTTCTTCACAGCAAAGAAAACAATAGAGTTAAGAGACCACCCACGGAACGGGTTCCATGCACGAGCATTCAAAGCCATATTCTATTTGTCAGAAGTAGGTCTCACTGAAGCTAATACTTATCCTAAGGGAGGTGAATTAGGGTCCCCCTTTCAATGGGAGGAATGCAGAGAATTTGTGGCCATACTTCAAGATCCCATAACACCCCTGTCAGA